TTGCCTTTAGGAGTACCCCTGCGGGGGTAATATCGGGGAGGGTAGTAACGAAACCCCTGAATTCAGTGTTATAGTTTCCCTTCAGTAGATAGAATATGGCTTCGAGTCTATTTTCATATGATCCCCATATACCCCATATTCTATCCCTAAACCCTTATACACCCCAAACCCTAAACCCTAGATAGTAGTTTCAATTTTCTTTTCCATTATCCCAATATGATCCCCCCCAACCCTAAACCGTAAACCCTAAACCCTAAACCCTGAAACCCTAAACCCTAAACTTTGAACCCTAAACCGGGGGACCATAATATGAGCCCTCAGGCTGACATAAACTTTTAGCCTGGGACTTTCCATAATCCCCGACCCTTAAAAAGGGTTTTAGGGTTTAGGGGTTTTAGGGTTTAGGGTTTCACCGCCTAACCCCATTGTAATACCAATATTTTGTAAGGGGGGTATTGATGAGTAAGGAGTGGTGAGCATTCTCAACCCTAAAACCTGAACCCTAGATAACACAGTAGTTACCAGTTTCGTATCTCTAACCCCTTTCGGGGGATTGCTTGGCCAGATATTGGCAGTCGGGGAAGTCCCTAACAACCGACATGGTAACCTTGGCAAAATTACAGATTGCATCCCTTTAAGGGGTTACCGTGTTAGCGTTGAGGTCTTACGGAGTAATGGAGAGTCAAATGGAACCGACAATGGGAAATCAAATGGAGGCGGTGGATGGGTTTACGGTTTAGGGATTCTAGTATGTATGGCAGATTGTCAAAATCTTGGTCCCTCTTTGGCTTCCCCAGTATAACACGGCCCCAAATCTGAAGGGCACCCATGTTTTGCTTAATATTAGAAGGCCCCATCTCTAGAAACAATGCTTTTCTCGTACTTTGGTGATTCTGAACCAGTCTAGGGCACCGGACAAGGGCTCGGGGCTTAGGGTGTAGCATGTCAAGTTCAACTTCCAAGGACCCAAGCCTCAGGAAGGGTTTAGGGTTTGGGTTAGAGCTTAGGGTCCAGGGCTCAGGAGTTTAAAGTGGTTGTGGGTTTAGGGTTGAGGGGATTTCGGGCTTCAAGCTTCTTGAACAACAAGAACCACAGACCACTATACAACGCCAGTTTCGATTTCATGTTCCATTGTCTTGTCCACTTGATTCGCCATTGTTGTGGGACTGTATTATCCCAATATAGCACCACATCGATACTCTAATTTCTGACCCCAGCCCTTGTCCTGGACTTACGCGCATTGAGTAGGGAATAGAGGAATGCATGCCTAGTGGCCCCCGTATATCCCCCCGATATTCCAGCAGTTTCCGCCTTTCTTTCCATTACTTCATTCCCTGCCAACAACCAATGTGTTGATCCCTGAACCCCTGCCAAGTGCTCAAGTCAATCCAGAGGTCCCAAGAGGGACTTCAGCCAGCTGCAGACGTGCTCAACCGCAGCACGTCGCCTCACCAACAGAAGCTGTAGCGGCAGCAAATTACGAACGTAACCTCGCTGAAAGAACAGCCCGAAGACACAAATCCTTGTTTGGATACTTAATATGGGAAAGAAAATGGAAACTACTACAATATGATAGGGTATATTTAGGGGTTATTATATAAGGATAATGGGAAAGAAAATGGAAACTACTATAATATAATAGCGTATATATAAAGTTTGTATATAGGGATAATGGGAAGAAAATGGAAACTTATTTAACACAATAGGGTATATATGGGAGTTCTTTTATAGGCAGAATGGGAAGGAAAATGGAAGCTACTATAATATGATTGGGTATATATAACGGGTTAGTATATAAGCATAATGGGAAAGAAAATGGAAGCCCTAAACCCTAAACCCTAAACCCTAAACCCTCAACCCTGAAGCGCTCCGGGTTTGGATGCGAAGCTCTTTTTCAGCGCAGGGGCTTAACATTTGTGGTTATATAGGGGATATATTGGGGGGTTTAGGGTTTAGGGTTTAGGGGATAGATTGGGGTTATATTGGTATAATGGAAAATGGAACGGGAACTACTATATTATATAGGGATATATAGGGGATGTATTGGGGTTATATTGGTATGATGGAAAACAAAATGGAAACTACTATATCATGTGGGGGAATTATAGGGATATATTGGGGTTATATACAGTGAACCGGTAGCCGAATTGTGGCACATGAACGATAGAAGCAATTCCGCGCCGGGGCTGACAGATTCCGAGTGCAACTGAGCCCGAAAGGATTGAGACTGCGGATGGCGTTGAGATGCTAAACCCTAAACCCTAAACCCTAAACCTTAACCATGTTGAAGCGTGACTATTTCAAAGACCTGCTCCCCCTTCTACACCCCAAAACACAAGAATTGCAACACCTCCTTACTGTAGAGGTTCCATCAAAACTGAATTTCTGGAAACCCCTATCTAGCTGCCCTTATAGGATTGGGTTGAGCTTGATTGCTCAGACCGTAAGCCTAAGCATGTAACAGAGTCCCCAGATCTTGAGCAACCAACACATCAAGACGGTTCATGGAGTTATTCTTGCACCACTTTGTAAGTACTACCATTGGAGCTACATAGGGTGATGCAGGACTTCCTCCATCAGCAGGACCTCGCAGCCCAGTTCTGTGGTCCCTCAAAGCCGTCCCGCCTGGCTGCCGTGTCGAATGGTGTTCTGTGCATCCTCAGCTAGCTTCAGAATCTCCCTAGCACTGTGTCTGTAGGATGGATTTCTCAAAGGATCTTCTAAGGGGAGTTCAAGGCCAACAAGATACCTGGCTGGCTATTGGGTTGCAGCAGATATTGTAAAGACCTTTACTGCGGTCTTTGCGGGTTAGAAGAAAAATGTCAGTTACCAAGAAGCTCATTCATAGAGTGCCATGGGAGCAGCAGGAGAGTTACGGAACGATCTTGCAGCACCCCATAGCCATAAGTTCCTCTTCCAACACATCACAACTAAACCGCCCAAGAAGCACAAATCGGGCTGCAGGTTCATAGCGTTAAGGATCAACATGTAGAGTTTACAGCATGGCATTGGAGGAGAGTGCTCTGGCAAAACTTCTCCTGTGCCAAAATCCAGCCCCCTGCACAATTCAAACAGAAAAGAATTCGCATAAAAAGGACATAGGGTAGCTTCCATGAATAGGGGGCCCTATACGGAAACCAACAAATTACAATCAACATTATGGGGGCTCCCAAAAAAGGGCCCCATGTGCATGGAAATTTCCACATTCCCAGACCCTACATAATCCCAGTTCCATTTCAGGTTCCATGGGGTTTTACTATTTGAGCTACAGTCTAAGCTCCTAGCATCCCCCTAAAAGCCCCTATAATACTCCCCTATATAATCCCTTACATAACCCCCTTCAAGGAGTTTAAACCCAATCCCTAAACCCTAAATCCTAAATCCTAAATCCTAGACCCACGGAAGCCCCCAGAATATGCATATGTATATATATATATTATCCCATTTGGGGGGAGGGCATGGGATTATTCAGCTTACAGCTTGCGCTCTGGGCTTGGCTTTCCGTGTGACCGAGCCTCAACTTCCTAGCTGGCTAATGTTGAGTTAGGTGTTTAGGTTTTGGGGTTTAGGGCTTCGGGTTATAGGGTTTGGGGATTTAGTGGTTTAGGGTTTGGGGGTGTGGGGTTTAAGGGTTTTGGGGTTTAGGGTTTAGGCCTAAATCATGGGGGATCAAACTACAGTAGAATTTACGGTGGAATATACTGGCTCTCAACCCAGAAGAAGAATTAGGGGCTTCAGAATTATGTACAGTAAATTCTACTGTAAATGTTTTAGTCGACGAAATAATTACCAATACAATTGCTTTAAAGGTGGTTATAGAGAATGTCTATGGCTTAGGATAAAGGTGTAGGGTTTAGGGCATAGGTCACATGGGGTTATGTAGGGCTTATATGGAGGGCTATACCCCATGAGGGATCCCATACGAAAGAAATAGGGATCATATAGGGGTATATTGGGCAAACGGAGACTGCTGAATCATTTCGGGTTTAGGCCTTAATTAGTGCTGATTAGAGCCACCTACCCAGCGAATATTGATTGAATGTTCTCCAAAGGTGATAACATACTACAATGGGATTACCTCAATACAAGGGGGTGAGGGGGGCATAGTATTAGAGGGAAGGGATTAGACATCTCGAAGTGAGGAAAGCATTTTAGGCTTCATGGAAAGTTGTTTGAGAGGTCGGCGCTCCAAAGAACCGTCTTCGAAGAATTCCTACTCTTCTTTGTACGGACCGCAGCAGATGCTTGAGCACGAGCTATGAGTGAACATGGAGTTTCTGTTTTGATGAGACATTGATGAGCCTCAGAACCCGCGGCTCCTCCTCTTCATACTTCATCTTCTGTCTCCACATAAAAAAAAAGTCCGGATCAGCGGCCATTTCTTCGTCGATTTTAGGCCCAATTGCAATAGCGCTAACATGTCTGACACTAGAAATGTAACATAAAGGCGTGAAGGTAGCTGAGCACCGTACACGCGCGAATTATGGATGCTGAGTGCTTTGCCTCGTCTGAACCCACCCCTCAGATGCGCAAGCCACAAGGGCCTTCCTGATACGTCTGCGAAAGCTGTCCACATTCAAGCTTCTTAATTCCTGCACTTATCCAGACACTGTGCTGTAGCGCATCTCTAACGCAAAAAACACGCAAGTTTGGCATCTTGCGTCTTAACATTACGACTGTATTGTGTCTGCAGGTAATGACTGTCCTGAGCCTGGCAGCATACTCTCCTATGCCCCTCCGGCCGCACGAATTATCATCTCATCATCCAGTGGGCCCAGAATCACGGCGTTGTCGTCCTTTCTGGACCGGGAGATGAAGGTAACCCTAAACCCTAAACCCTAAACCCTAACCCCCCCCCATGTTCCACCTGTTTCAGGTTGTAGCCTTCCCTAAATTAAACGTGCAAAACTCAGGCGGGGCTGCGTATTCCCATATGAGCTATGCGCTGAACTCCTAGCATCCCCCTTAACAACCCCTATAGAAGTCCCCTCTATAATCCCCTATGTAACCCCCTTTGAGCAGTGCAGATTGTGGCTAATATTAAGGTGCTCCAACAAGGCAATGAGGACTTTGTCCTTCAGCTCAAGGCGGTATGGGCAACCCTTTTCCCAGAGCCTGGGATAGTATAGGGCAATATAGGGATAATGGAAACTAAAATGGAAACTACTATTTAGGGTTTAGGGTTCAGGGTTCAGGGCATAGGGTTTAGGGCTTAGGGTGTAGGGCTTAGGGGCTTAGAGGCTCGGACAGGGTCTGAGCTGGTCACCTTCATAATTGGGGAATGTTGGGATCTGCATCTCGCGTGGCCTGTGCAACTCTTTGGTACTTCCCAAGGCCTACGGGCCCTGAAAGATTCACCTGACTATTGAGATTACAGCTTGGGAAACTACGACAAAATGGGAAAAAAAGGCTTTAAAAAGAATTGATCCAGGAGCCCGATCACCTTTGCATCCTTCCATCCCTCCTTCGTCTGCACTTCGACATTGTCGCCGACAGCAAACCGCAGCTTCTCATCTTGCTTGCATCCCTCGAACCCAGCCCTCAAGGACTCTTTATCGATGTTCTTCCTGGACTGCGGTTGAAGCATATCTCAACAGGCACAGCGTTGGTCCAAAAAGGGTTCGTGCTTTTTCCTGGCATTGCAGAAATACTACTCAATATCCGCCCAGCTTCCCAATGAACACGAAGCGACATTCCCGGGTCTCATCAGGCCCCCATAGGTGATCATCCGAGTAGCTACCAGCAAAGAGCATGTGGACTCCCTGGAACACAAACTTCCTGTCGTGGCCCTTCACAGCCAGGACTCCCTTGTAGCGGAACAGGTTGTTGGCCCTTGCCTCCAGTCCCCCCCCTCGAGTGTTAGGTTGCTGCCCCTGCCCTGTAACAGTCCCTATGAGGGGTCATATTAAGGGCCATATGTATACATATATATATATGTATATAACTATATCATTTGCAACTGCTACTGGGTGGGGGCAGTGCCCAAGTTAGGATACTTGTGCTGGAGATGTGCTCCAAGCAGGTTCGCAAGCGAATTCTAACACTCGGTATCAATATGATGGGATTGCTGCTGGACTACATGTTGCAGAAGTAAAGATGATGGAAGCAGTGCTCAACATCTCCTGTGAGGAAATTCCCCAAACCCAAAAACGGCCCCGCTGCCCTTCATGCATCCCAATGAAAGTTCTGCAAGAAACCAGATGCATTCGACTGCAGCACCAGAAGCAAGTCAATGACTCTCTACCCCTCAAAGCGACACCCTGGGCGCCGGATCCCCGATGAGGTAGCTGATCCACTCCTCCAGCTTAAGAATGTTCAGCTCGCCTGGAAACCTTGCATTGGTTATGGTTTGACAAACGGTTGTTACGGTTATGCCTACTACTCTATATATGGTATACACATACATATCTACGTGTATCAGATACCTGCCGCTTGATGTGGATCACTACCACTTTTCAGACAGCGGAGATACGATGCTCTCAGGATATTGCATTTTGCTTAAGTTTGCCTACTGGCAGTCGTACCCGTGGCATTCATTGTATCACTGACTTCTCAAATGACAACAAGTTTTGTTGGTATGAATGGTGACCTCGATTCCGCTGGTGGTGGGTATAGCGGTGGTGGCTGTATCCGGGTGGAGGTGGAAACGGCGCAAACGCAGGCGGCAGTGCAGAGCGAGAGGATGCTGAGTTTGTTCACTATGACCATCATCCTTCCTCACCTTGTCCTAAACCCTAAACTCTAAACACATAAACCCTGACCCCTAAATCATAAACCCTTAACCCCTAACCCTTAAACCCGAAACCCTCACCTTGCCCGAGAGACTGCACAGCAATGCTGGACACGCTGTCATCGTGCTGGTGATCCGCCCCCTCTGCCTCTAGGAACTCCGGATCCATCTCCTTACTGGGGGTCCGGGCTTACGGTCAGGGGTTTAGGGTTTAGGGTCTAGGGCTTCGCGTCAAAGGTTTAGGGTTTAGGGCGCATGGAATATAACACCTATACCATCGCCATATAAAAATTGTACTCGCTCTTACCAGGAATGTTGATAAAACAAATCCTTTATTCCCTAGATGACCCCAATATCTACCTCATAAATATAATGTAGCAGCTTCCATTATCCTTATACAACCCCCATATATACCTAAACCCTAAACCCTATACATATTCCTTCTTTTCCCCAAGTAAGACTCCAGAACTCGAGTCAAGCTGAAGGCATTGAGGTTCAAGAGGTGCTTGGGGTCCACCTGGTGCAGTTTTCGTTCGAAGTTGGGTTTGGGGTTTCGGGTTTAGGGTGTTGTTAAAAGTTGGGTACCTTTGTCTTTCGGGCAACACCCTTGTATTTGAGGGGGTACAGAAAGGAAACCCGGCGTTTGGAAATGCCTGTCTTTTATGAGGCTTAGGGGGCCAGGGTTGGGGATTGACTACGCTTACCAGCTGAGTCGGGGTTGAAGCTCATAATCAGCACGTACAATTCCTGTAAACCCCTAACTGAACCCAGTATCACACCATAATTCCCTAAGGTTCAGGATACTTCAGGCCATTCCAGATTCTTGATACCAACTCTGCGGGTCCCTGCAGCGGCTCTATTTTCTATGTGCGTTTCCATTGATTCTCCGTTATTTCATACTAAACCCCCTACCCCACCACCCGCACCCTTAACCGGCATCCCGACCACCCTAGGCTTGCAGGTGCTTAAGTGGGAGTGATGGAGTGAATATAGGGACTAGAATAGGAGCATATATATATATATATAGGGATTATTACAATGATCCACCCCCCCCACTCTCCCTTAAGCACCATCAGCAAGTAGGTAGGCATGTTACGAAACAGTAGCTTCATGCAGAATCAGGATCTTGCCTGGTTTCATCCTGGGCCTTTCTTTCCCTAGCCCTAGCTCCCTTAAACCTGCATGTAATCCAATTCTTCATGTCATTGTCCATTACATGTTCCATGTACTTCTCAATGACAGCCTATTCACTTATAACCCTTAATAACCCTAAACCCTGAACCACCCCTCCCATTTCAACCACGAGCCTTGGAGTACTGGCAGCGAAATATTTCTGCAGTTGTGTTGATCGACTTGATGCGCGCCTCGATCTTCGCTTGCTCCGCAAGATCCTCTGCAATTCTTGGGCTTAGGGTTGAGGGGTTTGGGGTTTGGGGTTGAGGGTCTAAGGCTTAGGGCATGGGGGCTGGGCTTTAGGGTGAAGGGTCTAGGGCTCAGGGTTTATCAGCTTGAAGGGGTCTCTTAGGAGGGAAAAAACGATTTCGGAATGATTTCGGCTTTTCCAATTGCAATGCTATTGGAGCCCGGACAAAACCCATAGGTTCATAGGCCCTCATTTAGAGGCTCATGATTACATGCTCTCTTCCCTGCTCATGTGAAGTCTGGCAGATGAAAGACCCCTCCTTGATTGATGAACCTGTTCAGGCGACTTATGTTTGAGAAACTTCTGTCTCTTAGAAGCTGTTTTGTTAGCAAGAATTAAAAACCTTTATCCCCAAACCCCAAGCCCAAAAATCACTTCTGAAAATCGGCTCAGCATCGGGGACCAAATCAAGCTTGTTCAGCAAGACACGATCCGCAAATGCCAGCTGTTCGACAGCCTGGTCTTTCAAGGTGTTGGGACGTAGACGTTGAGGGTTATAGGGGTATTACCCCAATAACGAAGAAACAAATTGAAGATCAAATGCAAAATGACATGGAAACAACTGTGTAAGGATATGAAGGGTTCAGGGATATTTCGAGCTTTCCCATTCCTGCCTCGTTCTCCACGCCCTCAGGCTTTTTCTCGTCAAGGTGCTGCATGACATGCTTGGAGTCTACCACTGTAATGATTCCGTCCAGCTTGTACATCGCCTGCCATGATACTTGAACGGGAAACCGACAGGGACTCTGGACAACTAGTAGTGCCCCAAAGTAAGGAGAACCCCAATGCAGACCACTAAATACCCTCATCCTTAGTATAGGGACCCCCAAACGGTACCTCCTTTGGTGAAACCCCCAAATACCTGCAAAAGTAGGATGATGTCAGACGCCTCTGCGCAACGGAGCCAGGCTGGAAAAGGGGTTAAAATGATCGGTACTCACAAACGTGGTGGTTTTACACCGCGACGACAATCCATCCGTGGCTGTCAACGCAGAAACCCATACCTGAATTCCTACATCCCGGACCCATCCGTGAAATGCGCCGGTGATCTAACTTTCTACGATCCTGTCTAAGGAGCTCAGATACGTCTTGAGCAATCCTCGCTGAACAACCTCACACCCCATGAAACGCTGCAAGTTCATAAAGCAGCATGAGAGCCTGCGAAAAGCTTACATCGGAGAACCACAAATCCTGACTCCAACAATATCTTGATACGGGACTTTATCCTACTTTGGAAATGTGCGGTGTTGGATAGGGAGAAATAAAGGATAGAGCTTTGTCGAGCTTTGGGTTTAGGATTCTGGGGTTTAGGGTTTAGGATACAAGTGTTTAGAACCCCCAAATCCTAAGCACCTGAACCTGGAATCCTGAAACCGCAAAAAAAAACCCTAAATTTGAAGGTCCTCTGACCATGCAAGATCATATTGTGTTACCCCGGGGCCGGGCATGTTATCCCCTCACCCACTAATAGTATCTAATAGTGGTCAGAAGGGATAAAGGCAACTCTCTCATGGTCCTGTGATGCCCCCGGTATACCACCACTCCCGGGTGGACCTAAAGCCCAGGGCCTGCATCTCAGGTTGGGCCCCTAAACCCTAAGCCCTAAACCTAAATCCTAAACCCTAAACCTAAATCCTAAGCCCTAAACCCTAAGCCCTAAACCCTTAACCCTAAACCTTAACCAAGAAATAACGATAACAATTTCAGGGTCCTCCTATGTCCCCAATATGCCACTATTTCTGGGTTGGTAGGGGGAGAACCCAGACCTCTGGGAGGATCTGAAAATTAGATCCCCTATATAAAGCCTGTATAACCCCTCTATAATCCTTATATAACTTCCCATATGGTTCTAGGGGATCTAATTTTTAGATCCGTTTGTGGGTCTGGGAACGTGTAGGGTTTAGGGTTTAGGGCTTAGGGCTTAGGGCTTAGGGTTTAGGGCTTAGGGTTAAGGGTCTAGGGTTCATTATGATAGGGATCTTAATACTAAGGCCCTTAAAAGGAGGGGGCTTATGAATCATGAGTCTACAGCCCTAACCCTAAACCCTAAATAGTAGTTTCCATTCTACTTTCCATTATCCCAATATAACCCCTAGTTTATTAATCCCTAATTAAACCCTGAACCCTAAACCCCTAACAGCCTGTATCTCATCGTCCACGAAGAAGGTCTGCGCCACCGGAGCAGGGTCCGCTAGGCCCGTGGTCTCGATAATGACGGCATCAAACTGCTCTACCTGCCAGCCCCAAAAAGCGGGCCCAAAGACTCCCAAATATTCCCCTAAGGGTCCGAGGACCCAAAAGTAGGGTTTTAGACCCCAAATACCTACTATTTGGGTCCTTGGACCCTTAAGGTTCAAGGAGCCAGGAAGTCTAGGGATTATACGAGGCAACCCCCACCCCTCCAATATTAGATATTCCCATTCTGGTACAATATAGTATGTGGGGGACATTTAATCTTTGGGGGCTTCGAGGGACTTTATATGCGGGGGCTGCAAGACCTGAAGAAGCTGTAACAAAATGCAATAACTAAAAAGGAGAGATCATAGCTTTAGATAATTGCAGGATGCGTCAGGGGAGATGGGGGTCTGGTCCTGGGTGGTCTTTAGGTTTGCTGGCGGCCAATTTCAGACATTTGAGCAGTGCATCCAAGATCCACAACCGATGCTGGCACTCGGTTTGATCTTAGCTTTAGGCACGGCTTTTGCACAGAACGTTAACGCTAAACCCTAAACCCTTAATGGCCTGAATGGGTCTTGTTCTTAAGGCCAGGCTCGCAGTAACAGTTCACCAGGTTTGAAAAGGGGTCGTGCGCTTTTTAGCTGCTTACCCCCATGACCCCATTGGAGTCACTGGCACTCAAATTGGAATGCCAAAGCCAATCTACCTGGCCGCAATCCCTAAATTACCATAATATGGGTATAGTCCCCTTAAGTAGATACAATATGGAGTATATGGGGATCTTACTAAAATATACCCGAAGCCATATTCTATCTACTTGGGGGGGACTATATATCCTTATTATTGTAACTGATTGTAAGTCTTGCACACTACTTGTAAGTCCTGCACGCTAAACTTGGTATCACCTCCTAGCATTGCTGGAGGCTACCCTCCCATCACTTACATGGAACCCCAAGTAGCCCTCTGCTTTCAAGGACTGTAGTCTTTATAGAACTTGTTCGGGGGGGTTCCATGTTACTGTTGGGATATTTCATCTCGTAAGCCCGAACTCCAAGCCCCGAAGCCCTAAACCGTTTGCCCATTGGGAAGAAAGCAGAGACTAAAGCCTACATTAGACTACGTGATCTACTGTCAATATTTGGGTGTTGAGGGTTTAATGTTACTGTGCCAGCTCTGTTTAAGAAAACATTGGTCAAGAAAAACAATGCTCTGGATTTCCTAGACATATGCATGTTCACTGCCCCTTCTGGCTAAGAAAATGAGTGCCCTCCGACGTTCGGACCCTATTTCTTACATTTTGGACTATTTTGTAAGTTCTGGCAGTCAATACTGTATTGCGAAGGTTTTCGAGGGAAATTGCGCACTGGTCCTCTTTGGATTGGTGGTTGCCTGCACCCACAAATACGAACGAAGACAGGAGAGTTGGAGATAGAACCCCGCATGTCTGGATTATGAACAGCCACTCTGCCAACTGGGCTACAATAAATTTGGCACGCCCCACCCCCCGGTCCAAATCCATCTGCAAATACGACAAAGTTTCTTACACCATCGCCACATGGATTTGGGCCCTCCTGGGCCCCAATGCTCAAATTCCATCCCACAAAATCGCAAAGAAAATGAACACTGACTTTCTTCACACTATTTTCCAGTGGGTTTGATGCCCTCCCATTACCCCGGGGTCCAGATCCTTCCGTAAATACGGCTCTCCCGTCCTCTAATGGAGTCCCCTATTGGGACTCCATGACCCCAACGCAAAGTGGAGGTACTGGACCCTGCTCCCTTGAAATGCTGCTGCATACTATGAAAAAGCAAAGACAATCAGCCGGAACTGGATTCTGAGAGCCATCTTCTCATGGAATAAATCCCCTATATAACCCCACATAATATAGTAGTTTCCATTTTGTTTTCCATTATCCCAGTATAACAGTCCCTATATTTATTAACTCCCCAACTCCCCTTTAAGCACCAACCCTAAACCCTAAACCCCTAACCCCCTAAACCCTAAACCCCTAAACCCTAAACCCTAAACCCCTAAACCCTAAACCCCTAAACCCTAAACCCTAAGAAAATGTGTGGCCTCCGAGCTCACTGAATTGCTTACCCAGGGCACGCACAGTACACTATGTGCACTCAATATTTGAGGTTACAGGGGTTACGGTTTAGGGTTTAGGGTTTAGGGTTTAGGGTTATATGGGGTTACATAGGGACGCATAGGAATACTGGAGAAACAGGATAATCAAATGGAAACATGAAACGGTTACTGGGATTACACAGGGGATGATACGGGTTTATGTTTCCCAGATGAATACTGGACATGGGGCCTTATTGGGGAGTAAATCAGGGACTATACAGAACTGCAAGAGGGACCCCTATGTCCACCCTAAGTAGTCCCTTGTTAAGCCTAACTTTGACAGAAGCTTATATAAATCACTATATACCCCAAGTTTCCATTTAACTTTGTCCCTTCTTCTCCATGTGATTCTTCATTCTTGGGGTCATGTCCGTAAACCCTAAACCCTAAATCCCTAGATAAACCCTAGAACCCCTTTAAAGAAAATCTGCCATGGTCACTCAAGATCTGAACTCTAAATCCCTATATATATATATATCCCTAGATAACCCCTATAACCCCTTTTTAAAGGGAAACTGTTATGGTCACCCAGCAAGCTGAATCCTTACACATCCCTGGATAAACCCTATACCCTTCAACGGGAGCCTGTTACATATCCCCTATATAGGCCCTATATAACCCATTCTAGTAATTTCCATTTTCTTTTCCATTATCCCAATATATCCCCTATATATCCCCCCCCACCCCCCCTCAGCCGTTCAGCAAGCTCAACCCTAAACCCTAAAGCCCTAACCCGGCCTTCTTGTGCATGCGTTTTAAAGCCTCGACGAGATCACTTCGCACTGTACAGCAGATGCAGCCATTCATGACCTCAGGGTTTCGGGTTTTAGGGCTTAGGGTTGTGGGTTTAGGTTTAACGTCTAAGGGTTTAAGGCTTAGGGTTTAGGATATGAGCTGTGGGATTCAAGGTCTAGGTTTCAGAGCTTAAGGTCTAGAATTTATGCCTTGAGTTTAGGATTTAGGGTTCAGGGCTTAGGGTTTTCTACGTGGAGTTTGGGGTTAAGGGTTTAGGGCCGAGGAAACCTAAATGGTATATGTATGTATACAAGGAATATAAAGGATTCTGCAAAGAGAAAGATACTACCCTCACGAGGGAGAGCCAAATTTACTACGCCGAAAACCCTCAAAAAATCTACTACTACTACTACTACTACCACCACCACCCTCCAAATCCCACCAACGCAAAGATGGGGGGCCTCACAACATACCTTTCTTAATGCACAATCAAATGGAAAATGGAAACAGAAGCTTCTGTGGGACTTACATTGCTTTTTTGCTGGTTGAGCTGGTTAAGATTCGGTTCTCGCTATGAAACGCTAGAACCACAAGGAAGTTAAAATCCTACATAATATTGAGGACGATACACCCTAAAACCTATAATGTTCTCACTATAAACACTAGTCACCTCGGCGTTTATCTCTGTTAAGGGTGGCCTTTTGTCAATAGGGTTCAGGCTGTAATTTCCCGGAATCTCAATCCTTTCGGGAGGCTGTTAAGGGGCCATAATCGCCCCGGCCTCGTATCACATCCCCCACCCACTGACGTTAGACATCGCCTATCTATTCTGATATATCACAATGGGGAAATTTCATATTTGTGGGGTGTCGGTTTTAACATCAAGGGGAGGGTGCTCATGGCTAAAGTTGAAATCACTCCCAAAATCTATGTGAAAGGCTTGTAATTTTGAAGCTCCTTCTGCTTGGAAACCCTAACCCTTTGAAGCTCCTTCTGTTTGGTAACCCTAAACGTTTGAAACTCCCTCTATTTGGTAACCCTAAACGTTTGAAGCTCCTTCTGTTTGGAGACCCCAAACCCTGTATCCCTACATAATCCCCGTTTCATTCAAAACCCCGAACCCTAAACCCTAGATCAGATCAGACTTCCTTTCTGGGCTCAAAGGCGGAGGAATCCTTGGAATGAACAAACTCGTCCACAAGATCTGCGCATTTCTCACCATTGGGGAGGGCTCCTAGGGTCCAAAGGACTCCAATGCGATGTGAGCTACTGTCAATATGATCCTTGACAGTGGACATAAGGGTCCCTCTAATCCCTAATATAGTCCCGAATAAGGAAACCCTTGTCCACTAATTTTGTGAGTACAAACTGGTTACAGCTCATGTACGGATAGTATAGATTCTGGGAGTCCCTATTAGGGATCATACATGCACAATTTAGGGGCTTCCCACAATTAAGGATACCATTTTGGGGGGTCTCAATATTAAGAGCTATAGTATTTGGGCGTTTATATAGGGGCCCGCCTATTTAATCAAGGAAACTGCCATTTTGAGAAACACCTATCTATTCCAACAATACAAGTTCTTGCAGAACGGCCTCCTTTTGCAGAAATGCCTTCAAGTAGACCAAACCCTTGAACCCTAAACCCCAAAACCTGAATCCTAAGCCCCAAATCGTAAACCCACCTCGATGATCTCCTCGTCCACGTTCTCCTGCTGCTTCACAATCTTTTCGTCCACTCCCACCTGGAAATAGGAAGTCTTAAACCTTAAACCCCAAAACCTTCCATGGATGCTCCGTATTGAAGACCCTTGCAATGTTCTGAGAATCTCCATGCATCCCCAGTTCCCCGCATAGCCCTGATATACCCTCCGATAATATGATCGCTTTCAGTTTCTTTTCTACCACTTCATTTTCTAGCAACAATCAGTACAACAAATGGTTTTGGGCAGCGGTATCACATCTGCCTCTAAGCCCAAAACCCCCAAACATTACACCGTGAACCCCAAACCTTAAACCCCAAACCTTAAAGTCAAGGCTCAGGCCGCCCACCTACGATGAAGGGCGGCGCCTATGCCCCTCACCCTCGTTGGCGACACGTCGACCGACCTGGTCCTGCCTCAGCACAGCCACGAGGGCAGTAGCACCCACGAGAGGCCCGGTACCGGAAGGAGTTCTCCTTGCAACTAGTACTGGTTGCTTCACAAAGTCATTAAACTAAACCCTAAGGCTTTCGTTCCGGATGGGGCTGGCTGGTTTTGCCAAGGCCCCTCGTGCAAGAGGTCTAAAGGGTGCAGGTCTGTTCTGCGAGCGAATTTCGGCACTGAGGCGGTGTGCCCCAAATTTCCTACAGCTCCGAGCTTTACAAGTCACATGTCGCAGGGCCTCCGAGGGGCCTCCCGGAATTTCCAGAACCTCATTCTGAAACTTTTCGGTCTGGCCTCGAGGCTGGTGGCCCACTCCAAAGGCCGCCCTCCCCGGCGCCTGGGCCCCTCGGCAATCTCTCAACCGGGGGCCGGAACGATGGCCTTCCACAGTCAGGCCATTGCAGCACCTCGCAAGAAGCGATGCACTCGACATCTCTTTGCAGCTGTCCTTTTCATGTTCCACATAACATCACTACAAACCCTAAACCCCAAACCCTGAACCCTACTTGTTCAACCAAGACCTGGCCAAACTCATTCTCGATGATCGCGAATTTCATGCCATGGTTGGGATCTGACAGGATATGATTCAGCAGGGTGGTCTTGCCTGAGCTGTCCCCACCCTCCAAGGTTTAGGGCGTAGGGTTTGGGGTGTAGGATTTATCATTTAGGGTTTAGGGCTTCGGGTTTGGGATTTTGGCAAACTTGGGAATTTCAACCTTGAACCTTCAACAGCTAAGAGGCCCTGCAAATAGAACCAAAAACTACCCAACCATACCCTAAACCCTAGACCCTAAACCTGAAAATCCTAAAGCCCTAAACACTAAATCGGTACATAAACCTCTACAAAACCTGTACCGTTCCTCCCAGAAAAAAGCCAAGCTGCCACTGCCCAAGAACCTTGCTTCTACTGGTTGTTAATAGGGAATGAAAGAATGCAAAATAAAATGGACATTAAGGTTTAGGGTTTACGCGAATATGCGAGGGCTTATAGGGATCCATTCGTCCATGTCCTACCAACAGCCACACTAGTATGGATCTTTTTAGGCTTTAGAATTCGGGCAATTGTTACTACTATGGAAATGCTACTAGCATTTCTATTATAACCTTTGGATTACTGACTTCCTTTCCAGTATTCTCACCGCTGCTGATACTACTACTATTACGCCAGTGACAGGTGGTTCGCCCAGATTTTAATGTGCAGACATATGCGCTTCACTCGCAAGTGCCGCAAGCATTGGGGCTCAAGATCTTATTGTTACTACTACTACTACTACTACTACTACTACGACTACGACTACGACGACGATGACGACGACGACGACGAAGACGACGACGACGATGACGACGACGACGACGACGACGATGACGACGACTACTACCACCACCACCACCACCACCACCACCACCACCACCACCACCACCACCCCACCGCCACCACCACAACCACCGGCTAAATTACTACTTTCATTACTACGAATATACCCACTCTTTTTATTACTACTACTC